TAGAGATGAGGTCTTGCCAAGTTGCCCAGGTGGGTCTCAAACCCGCGGGCTCAGGCAATCCACTCACCTCAGCCTCCCAAGCGTGGGATTACAGACTGAGCCACCGAGCACGGCTATTTTTTATTTTTTATTTATTTTATTTATTTGTTTATTTTTTTGAGTTGGAGTGTCACGCTGTCACCCAGACTGGAGTGCAGTGGCCGCTCCTGGCCACCACAGCCTCAGCCTGCTGGGCTCTGGCGATCCTTCCGCCTCAGCCTTCCAAGTAGCTGGAACTACATGTGCGCACTACCACGCCCAGCTAATTTTTTTGATTTATTGTAGAGATGAGATCTCGCCAAGTTGCCCAGGCGGGTCTTAAACCCGCGGGCTCAGGCAATTCACTCACCTCAGCCTCCCAAAGTGCTGGGATTACAGGCTGAGCCACTGAGCCTGGCTTTTTTATTATTTTTTAATGAGGTCTTATTATGTTGCCCAGGTTAGTCTCAAACTCTTGGGTTCAAGCAATCTGCCACCTCGGCCTCCAAAATGCTGGGATTAGAGGTATGAGCCACTGCACCCAGCCCAATCTCATTATTATTATTATATTATTATTATTATTATTATTTTGAGTTGGAGTTGTTTTTTTGTTTTTTTTAGTTGAAGTCTCACTCTGTCGCCCAGACTGGAGTGCAGTGACCGCTCCCGGCCACCGCAGCCTCGACCTGCTGGGCTCCAGCGATCCTTCTGCCTCAGCCTTCCAAGTAGCTGGAACTATAGGTGTGTGCTACCATGCCCGGCTAATTTTTTGATTTATTGTAGAGATGAGGTCTCGCTGCCCAGGCGGGTCTCGAGCTCGCGGGCTCAGGCAATCCACTCACCTCAGTCTCCCAAAGGCGCGGGATTACAGGCTGAGCCACCAAGCCCGGCTTGAGTTGGAGTTTTACTCTCGCCCAAGATAGAGTACAGTGGCATGCTCAGGGTCACTGCAGCCTCGGCCCACTGGGCTCAGGTGATCCTTCCATCTCAGCCCCCCAAGTAGCTGGAACTGCAGGTGCGTGCCACTATACCAGGTTAATGCCTGGATGCTGTGGTGGTCTCACAGGAGTGGTGGCACAGAAGCCAGGCTGGAGTAACTAGAGGAATGAGCAGCCTGGGTGGATTCTTTAGATGCTTAGAGCAAGAAGTTGAGAGTAGAGGAGAATGTGTGGGAAAGGAGGGTGACCACATCTTAGAGATAAGGTCTTGCCAAATTGCCTAGGCTGATCTCGACCCCCTGGACTCATGCAATCCTCTCTCCTTTGCCTTCCAAAGTGCTGAGATTGCAGATGTGAGCCACCACAGCCAGCCTGACCTCATTTTTTTTTTTGAGTTGGAGTCTCACTCTGTTGCTCAGACTGGAGTGCAGTGGACGCTCCCGGCCACCGCAGCCTCGACCTGCTGGGCTCCAGTGATCCTTCTGCCTCAGCCTTCTGAGTAGCCAGAATTACAGGCACGTGCTATCATGCCCGGCTGATTTTTTTTTTTTTTTTTTTGGGTTGGAGTCTCACTCTGTCGTCCAGACTGGAGTGCAGTGGCTGCTCCTGGCCACCGCA